CATGGAGATCGTTGTATTTTGCAACATGGCAGAGAGAATAAAAAGCAAGTTGCTGGGGTTCAGTCACTGCCACCTTGGTGCCGGGTGCTGGTGGTCCCCTGACCTGCCTGCTTCTTAATTCTATTTCTGTGTCTGTGTCTGTTTCTCTCATCTCTTGCAACACAGTCTGACAGGGGACCCTATCTTTACTGGGGACGTCATGAACCCCGATAACTGCACTCTATGACTGTTTCACACGCAAAATCACTTTAATGACTCATTTCCAGAACATCATATCTCTGTCGTTCAACGATGTGTGACTGCATTTGACAACGGTGGCAAATGCAATTCTGTGAAGGATGGTGTTGGAGCAACGGACATCGTGGGGCAAAAAAGTGAACTCAACGTGAACTTCACCCAACAAAACTAACTCAGATGGATCATGGACTTAATGTGAAAAGTAAGAAGTATCAAACTTTTTAAAAAGTAGAATAAAAGCTTTGGTCTAGAACTAGAGGAAGAATTCTTAGGCTTGACATCAAAAGCAGTAATCCATAAAGGAAAAATTGGCGAAAATCAAATACTTTGCCTCTGTGCGATACCTTAAGAGCATGAAAAGACCAACTGCAGATAGGCAGAATTATCTGCAAACCACATGGGAACTCATAAAGGACTTGTATCTAGAATACATGAATAATTTCCAAAGTGAGCAGTGTGAAAACACAATCTCATTAGAAAATAGGCAAAAGATGTGAGCAGACATTTCCTGAAAGGACATACAGTGTAGGATAAGCACATGAGAACATCTCGACCTCAGTAACCTTTCTAGACATGCAAATTAAATCTACAATGAGATACTGCTGCAGATGTATCACAAGTGCTAAAATAAAAAAAGAGAATGTCAAAAGCTAGAAAGGATGCAGAGAAGTTAGTTCACTCACACATTGCTAGAGATCATAAGATGGTACAGCCACTCTGCTAATAATAGCCAAGGCAACCTTGGAGACAAAGAACAAGGATGGAAAACATGTGACTAGATATCAAGGTATGTGGAAGGAGTATGAAGTAGACAAACCGAACAGAATAGAGTCCAAGCACTGCTGATATGCCTTGCTTTATTGCACTTCACTTCATTGCACTTTGCAGATACCACATTTCTGGTGGATTGAAGGTGTGGCAACCCTGCATCAAGCAATTCCATGGTGCCATTTTTCCAACAGCATGTGCTCACTTTGTGCCTCTGTGTCAGTGTGTTTTAGCAATAAAATATTTAATTAAAGTATGTATATTGATATATATAATGCTATTACACACTTAATAGACTACAGTATGTATAAACATAACTTTTATGTGCACTGGGAAACAAAAACATTTGTGGGACTCACTTTATTGCAATATTTGCTTTATTGCAGTGATCTGGAACCGAGCCCGATATATCTCCGAGGTGACTGTGTAGACAGTCATGTGGTTTGCGACATTGCAGGGGGAAAAGTGTGATCTTTTCAGTATACGGTGGGTGAGGTGCTGGGTCGTGTCCATATGGAAAATAACGAATTTTGACCCACATACCATAAATAAAAATTAATTTCAGGCCGGGCGTGGTAGCTCACACCTGTAATCCTAGCACTCTGGGAGGCTGAGGCGGGAGGAATGCTCAAGGTCAGGAGTTCAAGACCAGCCTAACCAAGAGTGAGACCCCATCTCTACTAAAAATAGAAAGAAATTATCTGGACAACTAAAAATACATAGAAAAAATTAGCCAGGCATGGTGGCGCATGCCTGTAGTCCCAGCTACTCAGGAGGCTGAGGCAGAAGGATTGCTTGAGCCCAGGAGTTTGAGGTTGCTGTGAGCTAGGCTGACACCACGGCACTGGCAACAGAGTGAGACTCTGTCTCAAAAAAAAAAAAAAAAAAAAAAGACTTGGAGCCCCTAGTGGGCAAAGGGTTTGTCACCTGTCATGACAGCACTCTAGCCTGGGCAACAGAGTGAGACTCTCTCTCGAAAAAAAAATTAATTTCAAATAGTGTACAACTCTAAACATGAAAGATAAAACAAGAAAGCTTCTAGAATGAAACAGGAGAATATCTTCATGACCTTGGGAGAGACAAGAGTTTCTTAGATGGAAATGCACAAACTGGACATCAAAATAAAAGAACTTCTCTTCATCAAAAAACACCGTGAATGTGCTCTCTTCGGCAGCACATGTACCAAAATTGGAACGATATGGAGAAGATTAGCACGGCCCCTGTGCAAGGATGACATGCAAATTATTGAAGTGTTCCACTAAAAAAAAAGAAGAAAGAACACCATTAAGAAAATGAAAAGGCAAGTCCACAAACTGGGAGAAGATTTTTGCAATAAATACAGCCAGCAGAGGGCTTGGATCCAGAATGTATGAGAACTCCTGTGAGTTAAAAATAGAAAGAGACTCCATATAAAAATAATGAGAAGACTTGAATGGGCCCTTCAGAAAGGGCATCAAGCCACTAAATGTTGAAAAGTTGCCCAGCATCACGTCATGGGAGGCGTGCCTATTAGAGTCCCAGTGAGCTGCCCTTACAACCTGAGCAGGGCGGACAAATTGGAAAACATTTGTAAGACTTACAAGTGTTGGTCAGGAGATGGAGCTACTGGAATTCTCAGATATTGCTAGAGGGAATGAAAACCGTCACACTCACTTTGGAAAACATCTTTCCATTTTCTGCTAAACCCGACTGCACACATCCATTACCTTGCCGTGATTATAAGCTGGTATAGCCATGTGCACATAGGCCCAGCCCATGAAACTGTGTGCATATTAATCAAAAGATGTAAACTAGGACGCTTATAGCAGCATTATTCGTAATAGAGAGTCGCCACCTACTGTCCACACAATAAAACGCATAAATGCATCCTGAAATACGCAAGTATCCCAGGGCAGTGAGAACGCTCGAACTGCTGCTGCCTGCAAACCCATCCAGGATTCACCCAAGCATCGTGGTGAGGGAAAGAGGCTGAATGTCGTGGGTAAAAACTCCGTGATTACATTCATAAAACCCTCAAAAACCAGCTCTGAAAGTCAGGATAACGGTTCTTCCGGGGCAGGGACAGCGACGGAAAGACCTGAGGGAAGCTCCTTGCTCTGGCCAGTCCTTTAGTGAAAACACATCCAGAAGAAGGCTCGGCATTGTGCAGTTTTGTGGTTTGTTATAATTACATTTAAAAATTAATTAAGAGTACAAAGTGCCACGTGTGATGCTGTTTTACCACCACGAACCACATTCTACGTGGCTTCATGGTCCTACTGTGAGGCTCGACCCCAGCTCACAGCCTTTTTCAAGGCATCCTTAAATTCCTTGTTCCTCAGACAGTAGATCAAGGGGTTCAGGATGGGGGTGAGGACAGTGTACACAGCAGAGATGAGCTTGTTGGAGCTCCGTGTATCGATGGCCTGGGGCCGGACGTATATGAAGATCATGGCCGTATAGAAGATGGCGACCACAGTGAGGTGAGAGGCGCAGGTGGAGAAGGCTCTCCAACGGCCGGTGGCCGAGGGGATGCGCAAGACAGCCAGGGTGATGCGCCCGTAGGACAGCACGGTGGCCAGGAAAGGGAACACCAGGATGATGAAGCCCAGGACGAAATCCACCAGCTCTGCCGTGGAGAAGTCCGTGCAGGCCAGCTTGAGGATGGGGGAAATGTCACAGAAGAAGTGGTTCAGGACATTGGAGCCACAGAACGTGGCGCTGGAGATAAAGTAGACCTTGATCAGGGAGACGGTGAAGCCGCTCACAAAGGAGAAGACCACCAGCTGGACGCACAGCCCCGTGGTCATGATAACGTGGTAGCGCAGCGGGTAGCAGATGGCCACGTAGCGGTCGTAGCCCATGGAGGCCAGGAGCACACACTCCGTGCACACCAGGGAGCTGAAGAAGTAGAGCTGCGTCATGCACCCGATGAAAGAGATGCGTTTCCGCTGCAGGAGGAAGCCGTCCAGCATCTTGGGTATGATGTTACACACGTACCAGATCTCCAAGGATGACATGATGCCCAGAAAGTAGTACATGGGCCTGTGGAGCGAGGTGCTGCCCCAGACGGTGAGGATGATGGCCAGGTTCTCCACCAGGACAAAGAGGTAGGTGAGCAGGAAGAGGAGGAAGAGCACGTACTGCAGTTGGGGCGCCGTGGGGAAGCCCACCAGCACGAACGTGCTGACCTTGGTGACATTCTCCCCCCTCATCCTTCTGTGCTGGGAGCCGGGGCCTGCAAGACACCAGAGATGAAGGGCTGCAGGGCAGCCTGGAAGGGGAGAAAGTGGAGCTGAAGCTCAGGGTGAGTCGTGCCCACAGATGGGGACAGCAGGGAGAACAATGGTTGGTTCATCTCCAGGCACCAAGAGGACAGAGCTGCGTGCTTGTGTCAGCCAGCCGACTGATGAGGCGGGAGGGAGGAAGAGAGGACACAGCCGTCAGGTGCAAGGATGGCGGGAGGCGTCTGCACCACCCACTGGGGTGGCCAGCGCAGCGTGGGTCTCCCTGTTCTGCTGTGGGTTTGGGGCCTGGTTTGACACCAGCCGTGGGTCCCCCAGCGACCCTAGCACCCACTCCCACTACCACCTCAGGCATGCAAGTCACTACGATGCTTATTTAATTTTTCCCTTGAAAGTTACATATGGCCAGGCTGGCATTTGTCTTCTGCTACAGGGCTAGAGCGTGCCATGGCGTGGACAGGTCTCCATGGGGAAGGCGCACACGTGTGAGCCAGGCCATGGTGCCTCCTCCTGGGGGCCGCTGGGCGAGCCAATCTGCCAGGGAGGGGGCGCCGCACCTCTGCGCTGTGTGGCTGCTGCTCCCACCGGCCCCAAGCCAGCCTGTGCGCACACACGGTCACTCACACGCGCATGCATACACGTGCTCACACACCCTTATACACATGTCCAAGCACACACACTCACATGTGCACACACATGCACACACACATGTGCAGACATACACACCCTACACACCCATGCACAGACATGTGTGCACTCACACATAAACACACACTCACCCACCATCACACACATAGGCAAACATCCATGCACACTCACACAGAGATATCACTGCCTTTCCAGCTGGAGAAGACCACAGGGGCAGCTGCAAAGTCTGCTGGAGCATGGGGAAACTGAGGCCCGGGGGGCCCAGGACACTACTGGAGCAGAGCGGCAGCGGAAGGACTAGCTGAGAGCCAGGACCTCAGCTCTTGAGAGCCGCAGATGACGGGCACAGCGGTGGGGGGAGACGGGCGTGGCGGCCAAACGCACGTGAGTGAGGGGCGCTGGGCTGAGCGCATCACGGGCTTCATGGGGAGTGAGGGCAGGTCAGGCCGGGCTGACGGGCTGACGGGCTGACGGGGGATCTGTGAAGCGAGCCCCTCACCCCTCTTGGTAGGTGGGCTGGGCCACGGAGCAGACCGGGGTCCCTGGTCTGGAAAACTCAAAAACGAACCCAAAGACGAGGCAGGGAGGACGTGAGTGCCCTGGCTGGAGAAGGTTTCTGCGAGAACATGCAGGCAAATAAAACCACAGATAGAGACAGGCAGGAAACTACGTGAGGGCACTGCCCTTGCCGAGGTGACTTGTCTCCCAGGAGCTGCTGCAGCAGGGCGCGCCCC